TGGGAATTCAGGCTCCCTGAAGAACAAGGAGAGCAGGAGCCTGCAAGGATTAAGGTATTATAAAGCTCACCAGGGGTAATGAATGGGGTGATTGCAAAGAACGAGCAAAGAGGAAACTTGACTTGTGCTTACATGTAACATGATGAGGAGGACTAGAAAAATCATGAGCCATGCCACAAAAGAACAAGGGGTTTTGCTGACTGTCAAACTGGGGAGCAAGCATGTGCCATCTGAAGTCATATATGCCTTCCAAAATGTCACTTAAACGAAAGTATTATTTAAAGTGTTACATAGTAGACGAGGGAAGAAGAAAGTAGCTAAATGTATCTTTCCTAATCTTATGTGAGAAGAACAGAAATTGCCAGAATAAGTTGCTTAGTGCTGCAGGGGGCTGCCTGCCAGCCCACACAACTGAGGCATAAGAATCCTAACAAATGTGGCAGCGAATGACAAAGCACCTTGCTCATTCTCAGATATTCACAGCTGCTACCACCTGGATGAAACCTCAACATATTGATGTTTTAAGAAGAAATTTGGTGGTGGGGGCTGAAGTCAGTGCAGCTCTTGCCTAGCAGTGACTTTGCTATATTCCACTCAAAAAAATTTCTAGGTCTACCTAAAAAAAATCACCCAATATGATTGCACCTCCCCCCCCCCCCCCCTTTTCTGGATTAAAAAATAATAATAAAAAAGAAAACTAAAAACAAACAAAAAATATCCTGTGTTATCACTTGTGCCAGGTTTGTTTCCAAAGCCACAGGGTCGTAAGGCATGGAACCTCCTACAACCACAGCTGGACCTGTCATTTCAAGTCATGATTTTGTATATGCAAGTCTACAGCATAAAGCACTGATGTTCACTCAATAAAACACCCTCTTGCACAAGCACAGGGTATCAGCAGCTCAGGGTGCAAATGAAAAACTAAACAAGAGGACAGGCTCTCCAAAAGGTGAGGTTTATGGTTTCACCAAAACACTACAGACCTGTGTATGCTCCAAGCCCTCCCTTGGGTGACTTATAGTGACAGTTTTCCAAGAAAATGGGCAACATCTCTCAATAAACTAAAACACCATATGGTTACTGAGCGCAGGGAGAGAAAGGGGAATGGCAGTGAAGGTTGGCACTGTTAGCAGATAAAGTTGACCTCCACTACCTTAAAAGTGGCCTGACCAGTATTTTTAGCAGGGAATTATCCAGCCTTGTCTTTATGGCTATGTTGCACAAAGTAATATATGCATCACCTACATTCATCATCCAGGATGAACTCTGGGCTTGCAGAAGGTAAATCAGAACAGAGAGGGATCGAGCTCAGGGTGAATCTGGTGCTATAACCAGGTCATTCCAGACCATGCCTCTTCAGGACACTGTCCTGGCATGGGGATCACATTAGTGCTACACAGGCACACCAATATTTACCCTTTAGGGCCATCACTGCAGAAGTCTTTGAGACCAGAAGGTCACGGCACATTTCAAAGCAGAAGAGGTTTCTATATTGCCTTCCTCTCCTCACCAGGAACCTCAGCCAAGTCACTCCAGCCAGCAGGGAGGCTGAGTCTGGAGGAGGTGCTTCAGCTGCACATTAAGAGGCTGAACTGAGAGCTGTACCACGACTGCCTCTGCTCCATTTTCTCCACAGGCTGCCTACTCCCACATTCAACACCTTTACATTCCTGATTTACCCTTTCAGTCCCCCACTCCAGGGTGACACTTTGGAGCTGGCTTGCTCTCTGAGAWGTTGAATGGTTTCCTGGCCAGCCCYGGAGYGGAAGTGAAAGCCAGGCAGGCATCCCAGCTTCACATCTTACCCTGCACAGCCTTAACCTCAAGGAGATGGTTATCTTTAGCATGATGCCCATCGGATGTGAGCTGGTTATGCTCACCTCTGTGTGACCCTTGGTTACCTTTGGTGAGGTGACAGCTGAGCTGCTCCACACACTGCCTTGGACCTTTCCCTCTCCTTTCTTTAAGCAAGGATACAGTTGAACCACAGCTTCTAATTCAGTATCAGGAACAGGACAAGCAACAGCTGAGCCCCAAAGACAAGCACATAGAAGGGGGAACAAATTGTGTGAGTCAGACTAAAAGCTTCATAAATATTGACTGGTTTTAACAGTCCCCTAAGGAACAGAAAATCTCATTTTATAACTACATCTCCCCATTATGCACTCCCTCCTCTCAGGAAGCTGCAAGGGGAGTTAGTCTCCTGGCTAATGAGCACAATATCTTAATTATTCTTTGCAGTCAAGTTGCTCTGTTTGGGACTTTGCACCACACATCAGCAGAATATCTGAGCACCTTCCAGTGGTGCTTTAAATAATCTGGAGTGGGCTTTGTTCTCTCAGGTTTGCCCCAGCATAGAAATGACTTGGCCCCACCTGAGGGTTCTCAGGACCATCAACACCCTCCAGGCACTGACATTTCTCACACTCAGAGCTGGTGCAGCTGGATTTGGTGGCACCTGATTTAGCCAAGTCTTCTCTGTTCCTGTCTTCTAATTGGGTTTGTTGACCCCTGAAAAATTCCAGTTTGGTTGTGTTGGGTTACCTGAGGCCTGCATAGCTTTTTGAAAAGAGAATCTTCTGCCTGAAGGGGCTTAGGCCAAGACCATGGGAGGTAGAGATGGAGCTCACATCTTCATGTCCTTGCTATCCTTGAACTCCAGACACAAGTGCTCAGTGGATGATTATCAATGACATTATCAGTTATCAGACATTATCAATGAGTGAAGTAACAAAAAGAATACAGAGACTATGATGTTTCCCTGTTGAGAATAAAATACATAAGAACAAAATAAAATGTAATGTTTTCAGCACCTGGATTAATGGGCTAAAAGCAAAGAAATTTTCCAGGTTGGAGTCTTAGAAAAGCCTGACAGTGCAAATCAACTATCTCCTAACTTCAAAAAATACAAAAATTCCATTAGTGAAATCTCTCCACCAACCTATTCCCTGAGACCATCCCCTCCTCACAGCATTGCCAATCATCTTCCTTTTCACATGTAAATATGGCATGGCAGCTCCCCACCTTCACCACAGCCACCACTTGAAAGGTCTGGCACACTCTATACATGAGTTATCTTGGGGGCTGAACAGTTGCAATGATCCAGAACTGAAGTTTCTCTGCAGTGTAAGAAGAAATCCAAATCCCAGGAATAACTCAACTTCCTGAAAGAGCCTGCCAATAGACCATGAGATCTTGCAGCCAAAGGTAGGGAAAAGCAGTCAGAGATCTGTGGATTTGGCATAAACTTAGATGAGATGGAGAAACCCACCTTCTGTATCCAGGCAAAGTGAATTTCACAGATCTCATGACAGACTGAGATTTACCCATTTAGCACTAAATTAAAATGGACCTGGCCTTTCCTTAAAGATATAGTTTTGAGCCAGAGCTCGAAACACTGGACTACTGTGCAAAGTGATGCTCATCAAGTTATGGCCTCATGGGGGCTGCTCACCTCTGACCAGTTTGAAACTGGTGCATTAGAGAGACAGAGGTGGCTGGAAAAGTTTTCTGGTAGAACATAGGTGTCCTTCAGTCCAAAAAGAGTTTTGTGAAGAAGGGAGCACTTCAGATGGCTGTTTCCTTGTTCACAAATCTGAGAGAAATGACAGGTTTGGTTAATTTATCTATATTACATCTCCAGGGAAAATTTTGGGATATTTTCTCAGTAGAGAAGTTTTCATTATTGGAAACATCACATTAATTTTTATAGGTGTGTCCTGAAAAAAAATCTGAGTTTCTCCCTCTCAATTGTTCTTAATAATATATTAAAAAATAAACTATTACAAGGGTTATTAAAAGGCTTATAATTCAATATCTGTCCAAGGCATAGCAAGTAGTAGGGAGAGCTGAGGACCAGAAGCCAAAAGCCCAAACATGGCAATGATCCTGTCTTTTAGCTGAGATGAAGTGCAGGTGCCATCAGATGAAGCTATCTTGGGTGATCTGGTGCCAAAAAAGCACACACAGTGAGTCACTAGGAGTGTACGTACAATTCAGAGCTTGCCCTGATCCTCTCCCCCRTCCCACCATGGGGGGAGTGAGCTGGCAACTCTCTGGTGCTTAGTTCCTGGCCGGGCTTAGACCACAAGTACARATGATTCAGTTCTGCAGGAAGAGGAGAAGTAAAGAACAAAGCCTAGCACTGTTACTGTGTACAATCTTTTTCTCGGTAAAGTTGTAGAAAAGTAGTAGCAGGTCCCCAATCAATAGTGATGGACAGACAACAAAAGGAAGTCAAACCAAGATGTAGTCATGGCCTGAGCAGATATGGAATATGTGCAGTGTGTCTCAGTACTTYGCTCTAAAATTATAAAACAAGACTGTGTAGCCAGAACCAGCATCTGACCTTCCACTTCTTTTTTTTTTCCCTCAAGAAAAAAACTGACGACTCTTGCCCATCCTTGACGTATTCCATATCTACTGCCAAATCTGCACTCCCCCACTCAGACATAATCCCAAAATAGGGTGTGATGCCTTTCCCGTTGACAAAGCCATAAGTCACAGTGAGCAAGACACACTCAACATTCTCCAATCAGTTAAAGGAAAAGAGCTCTCCCCCTCTATTTCCCACCACTTCAGCACTCATTATATCTCACATTAATTAATATAGGCACTAGGAAGTGAGATGATAAATTACAAAACCCCATTAACCTGATTCTGTCCGAACTGGTAAAATAAGGCAGCTTGTWCATTAGACAAATCTTCCTTGTTAATGTGGGAGTCCTCATGCCTGAACTCTGTTAAAGCAGCAGCCCTGAAAAAGTATTTTTAATGTATGTATGTATGGAATGTATACCAACGTGCGTGAATGGTGCACGCCTGTGGGAACATCAGATCTCATTAGATCAGTCTGATATGAGATATATTGAACAGGTTCCATCTGACATATGTTACTGGGTTGTTCTGTCCACTCCCAACGGAGTGAATCATATTGACAGGTTGAATTATATCTCAAGAGATATTTTTCTCCCCTCCTCCAAAGGCCATTTGCAATCACGGCACATCCACTGCCTCTTAAAAGTGAGCTCATCTGGCGCTGGTTGCATTGAAGTCCTCCACCGTGCCTGAAGGAAGGATGCTTTTGGGCACTGGGAACATGGAGAGGATGTGCTCTGCCCAGCTGTGTCTGGCAGTGCTGACCATCTTGACCATGACTCTGTGTGTCCCGTCCACGCATGGAGACCCTTTTTTACTCCAAGGTAAGCTGCAATACGGACTGCACAGCACAGGTAGGTGATTATCTTTTTGCTTTGCTGCTTGCCATGACCAATGCAATGCTCACTTCTCTGGGAATAAAACCAAAATGGACCTCAATCTGTACCAAGCAATTGGTTAACATCGGTGCTAGAAAGGGACTTGTTCATGATAAAGCTGTCCTGATCTGCAGCTGGCTGTTTGACACATTCTGCTAATCAGGGAAAATAACAGATCTGGTGAAATCTGGTAAGAGTAGCGCTTTCTCTCACATAAGAATTTTTTTTTTTTTTTACAAAAAAACCTATTAAAATATCAGAGAGGAGCAATTCCAGTATGTACCATATGAGATTTGACAGCTCATAAATGTCAGTAGTACGGTGATGCTGAACTTTTTTTTCTTCACAGAACTTCTTCTTATATGTACTTCTCCCATAATTTAATCTTAACTTGAATTTATACTTCAGGGAAATGTCACTCTTTAGTGCTCTTTCTTAAAGATACTTGGCAGTAGGGGAAAAAAAAAAAAGGAGCAGCTAAATATAGGCTTTAAAATAACATTGCTTTTCAAATTATTTTTCCTCTTATACCACCTATTTATTTTTGTAATTACAACCAAAACATTCCCCAGGCCACTCTATCTAAATCCTGCTTCAATTTAGCTTTTACTGGAGTGTTTATAGTGTTGTATTATTTTTCCCTGTAGCAAATCCCCCRAACAACTAAAAGTAGCTATTTTAAAATTATAACTGTCCTTCAGGCTTAGGAATGAGGTTTATGGCACTCTGTGCTAACTGCAGGTTGCTCTGCTCACTCCCCTGGGTTTATTTCCAGAGATCACAATCGGGACCAGCGGCTTCAGCCGCAGCGTGAGGCAGGGCTGAGTCTGGCCAAATACTTGGAGCATCCCTTTGGCCAGCATCCCTMAGCTTCTGCAGATTTATGTGACGTTTGTTAATGGAGCTGATTCCCACAAACTCTTGAGCATCCTTCAGGCTCGTCTGGTACGCTGTTTTGTTTCATGTGTATCAGGAATAATTGTGTTCATCCCCTCAGAGCTCTGTAGGGCTGACAACTGTGTGAGACTGCACTGAGCAGAAGTCCTAAAGTTCCTGGAAGAAGAGAAAATAAGCCTTTCTGTATAATTTCTGTAAAAAAATCTTTGTATTTTCCATGGGATTCTGTAGGCACCTTCTAGGGCTTTGTGGGGTGTGGGTGTGGGGTGGGGCTGTTCAGACCTAAGATCTTTTTGAATGGTCACTCTCCCTATAAAGTCTGGCTCCTGTTCTGTCATTCTCAAAATTCAGTGCAACATTCTAATTTCAGATTATTCCAGAAATCTGTTGAGCAGAGCTGGGAGGGTCTCAGAGCCTTCAGGGCACTGATTAGTCCCATCCCCTGTGTCTGTTGGTTTCTGCTGAACCCTTGACCTTCACAACCAYTCATTTGAGGGCATAGCCACAACCACTAAAGTAAAACCACTGAGAAAGTGCCCTAAAGGGGCCTCTTAGAGAGATCTAAATTACTTTAGGACAGCAGTTCAGAGAGATTTTTCTAGGACAAATTCTTCTTGGCCTTGCTGTAAGTTCTTCCACACTCAAGCTCTGTTCAGGAAGGATCCTTCAGTACCATTGTTAATGGGACAGAGCAGCCCCAAGGCTGAGTGAGCACAGGAATGGGCTGTGGGGCTGCAGGGCTTTTCAGCTGTGCTACCCATGAGGAGGGAATTCCCACCTCTGTCAGCCCTGGGAAGGTGCATGGAGAGAGAGGGGAGCACCTGCAGCATTGAAAAGGGAGGATGCCATGAGTTCCTGTCTGGTTTTGCAGAAGCACCCACTCCCCTCGCCTTGTGAGAGCTCGGGACTGTGTAAATCACGGTGATGKCTCCAGCTCTCTGCAGCCACTCGTGCTGATGAGGCTGCAGTGGAACTGGCCAGCAGCCCGGGGCTGGCAGGGACAGCTCCCCATCCCACACCCTTCACTGTGCAGCCCTCACTGCCTGGACATTTGATTCTGTGCTCACACACCTTCCCTTTCCACCGAGCTCCTGCCACCCTGATGAGCGCTCACAGGAGACATTTTCCTTCCACTTCTTAGGCTTCTTAATTTGATTAAGAGATTAAGTGCACCAATTGATTAATTGATTCTTAATTTGATGAGCTTGAGAAAGATGTGTTTTATGTGCTGCAGAGAACCGAGTGCTTCCAGAGAGAGAAGACACAAATCACCAGGACACATTGCTGACTCTGCTTCTTAATAAGAAATACGCATGGCGGAGGCCAGAAAATATCGGTAAGTGGAGGGGAGGGGAGACTCTGCTTCTCGAATCTGTGTGTGCATGAATGCAAGGAACCTGCTACTCAGGTTCCTCAGAAATACCRACTGCTCAGAAAGTGGAAGCAGCACTCTGTATGGTGCCTGCATGTGATTAATGCCAGGTGCTCTCCATCACGGGGCTCCTGGACCTGCTTTTGCAATGCAAAGTAAAGCTGCCAAAAAAACAGTACCCTAGATCCTTAGACACCCAGCATTTTGCTGGGGACATGTGTGTGTATCTAAGTAAAAACAAGAAATATTTCTGCTCAGTCCCTGTGCCCTGACTATCCCTGAGATGTTTTGTGCAATGCCCAGGGCGTGGATCAGCTTTGGGAATCAGCTCTCCACTCACACCCCAGACAGCCTTGTGTGCTTTTGAGAGACAGCTCAGTGTCTTTGAGACRTGCTGGAACCAGCAGCATTTCGTGAGCATTTGGGGCAGGGGGATTGCCCTGAGATTTTCTAGAGAACACGTGGGTGAGATCCCTCGGTGCAGTTTGGGATCAGGGCAGTGGCAGCTCCTGCCTGGACCTAAGCCCTGCTGCTGCTGGGGGAGTTTGAGACAATGAATGGGCTTTTCCCACACAGACACCAAAGACAKGCCAGGGGGAGGCTCTTCCTGTCCAAATTTAACAGCCACCCCCATGTGGCTGCACTCAGACCTGCTGGGGAGAAACTTGGGCTTTYCCTGACATGAGGCACCAAATGGATTACAGAGGTCAGCTATTCCCACGGCCACTGCAGCCAGGGGAGGSTTTGGGCTGGATGTGGTGGGCTCGGAGCAGGAAACTGCCCTTCCCTGTGAAAACATCTGAGAATGGGGCCCAGCAAAAATGTTGTTATGAAAATCCATTTATCAAACTCACTCAGTGCTCTTCCCTGGACCCTTGTTAAGGCAGCAAGGCAGTGGTTAAACAAGCCTGGGACAAATAAATAAACATAAATAAATCAAGCCCTTATACTAACAAAGGCATTCTTCTTGCAAAGGGGATGCATTCAAGAAATAACATTTTTATGATAGGTTTATGGATTATTGCACTTATTACTCCTAGAGGAAAGGCTGCATTTTATGCCAGACAATTGAATATAATGAATCTCTGAGCAGAGCACAGACAGAGGATTTACAGCAGGCAGTTTCTCAAGGCTTCATCCATAAATTAACTTCCTTCTCCCTGTCTGAGATAATCTGTTCCAAATTTCAACCACTGTTCATTTTCTATTCAGASCAGTCATTGGCCAAACTTACAGTCTGCAAAAAGTCGAGCCAAAACAGGCACTTGAAACTCCGAAAGGGGTRAAAATGTGTATAATAATAATAATTTTTCTTAAGTCACATTTTTGACTTACAGATATGTCAGGGTCTGTCTGTCTCTACCTTATGGGTGTGTAAAGATGTACTTTGGAGGAATCTGCCTGAGGTCATTGTTGATAGTACCAGGAGCAGAGCCCACTCCTGCTGACCCCATCCCCACCTCCATCCCATCTCTCAAACCAAATTCTGATGTAATAGATTTGCTTAGGAACTGCTGCTTTTACTGTTGGTGAATGTCAGAAAATACTCAGCATTTTTCAACAGAATTGTTTCTTGAGGAAGCCAAGAGGACAGTCAGCTCTTTCTTGGCACCCTCCTGCTTAATTTCAAACATTAAAAAAAAAAAATAAAAAGCCCAAGTCTGGCAATGTGTCCGTGTGCTGAAGTCTTATCTGAAATCTGAAATCAAGGGGAATTATGCCTTAAATCCCCCTGATGATCCAGATGYCTGCTGCCACGTTAAGAACACAGAAAAGAGGCAGCTCCAGGGCTGTTTTCTGGCTTGCTTGTGGGGCCTTGCAAAACATTCTTTAGCTCTTTCCTGGCTCTTCTGCTTATTTTAGTGCATTTTTTTCCCAAACTAACACTTAAAACCAGTGGATCACTTTGCACTCCCCACCCAGAACTATTGTAGACAGTCACTCAGCTTTGACTGAGCTCATCTGTCTTTTTAAAAAATTAATTGGTTTTGACACCAGTTTGAGTCTGGAATAAGGTACCTCAGTCCTCACGAGCAGTGACACTGAAATTCCCCACCCCTGCAGCTTTCCCTATTGCCAATCCAGCCCTTCTCAGTTCTGCTGGAGGTTTTAGACCCTGTTCCTAGGCACCTAACTCTGCCCTCCTCCTTCATGGGATATCTCAGGGCAGTTCATTCATCCACCTGCATCATTTTTTTGACAGTAGTACAGAACTGATTAGCCTTAAAATCTCTGAGTCTGATCTGTGGGGCTGGGCCCAGGTCCTCATGCTCCCCKAACATTTAGAAGTGTGGACTCCATGCACTTCCTGCTATGTGACTTTTCCCATTGCTCCACTCTGCCAGCCTGGATCTTAGCTGACTTAAAAATCAGTAAGTTACGATAGGCTAAATTTGTGTCTTCTGACTTCTGCCTGCATGGGTAATGTGAGGATAAACAAGTCCAAAAGGGAGCAATGGGATTTCATGGAAAAGCCAGTGACAGAAAAGGCAKCATTAGAGATTTGCAGTTAGCAGGATAAAAACCAAAAAGCAGCGAAGACTTTTACCCAAATTGGTATCACACAGTAAGTGACCTCATTGGGCCATTTCCCCTATGGCCTGGTGAGCAGTAAAGAAGCTTCCCTCATAATGGAGAATTAGGAKAAGATCCCATAGGATTCTGCAAAGAAAACCTGTTTTTCTGTCTGTTTGTCCTGTCATTCATTTGAAGATCACTAATAGGAGTTAAAGGATAACTAGGTTCTTTGCTTGTCACCCCCAAGAGAGGGCAAATGAGGAAAGCTCACCTAATTTTAGCTCCAGGAAATAATGCAGGTACTGATGTTGCTCTCTCCCCTCTTGCAGACTGGGAGCTGGCAAAGAAATTTGAAGAGCTTGAAGAGGTGAGAGGAGCAAATGCACAGAACAYAGATGCATGCACTTGCATGAGTAGTTAAACAATTGTGTAAGCTGTCTTTATGCTCCATCCTTCCCCCTTTGCATCCTGCCACCCTTAACCCTGCTGCTGTGATGTGAGCATGAATMGAGAAAAGAGCAAAGCAGAACCTGGGCTACACAGCTGCACAAGCTGGAAAAGGTAAAAAAAAAAAAAAAGGAGAACAGGTTAAAAAAAGGAGAACAGGGCTGTAACTGGCACAGGAAAAGCTGAGCAGCTCCTGCCTCTGTCACCGGTGAAAGGCCAGGGATGGCCAAGCCAAGAGAGARTTAAGCACCAAAGGGAATCTCCATAGGAGAAGAAGGAATGGGAAGAGGAGGTCATGCTGCCTTCCCTGGCATTGTATGAGCTGGCTGCATTAGAAATGGGTTGAAGGTGGAGGGAAAGCCACTGCCCACCTAAAACAGAATCTTTTCTGGACTCTTTACTAGTAAGAGCAGCCCTACTCAAGGTCAGAGCTCTGCTGGGCTATCAGAGCACAAACATACAGAGTGTCCCCATCCTACAGCCACTGCCCAGGAGCAGGGAAAGGTCTGCAGCATGGTTCCCACTGTGYCCCAAACACCATGTGCAGAGGAAATGCTTTTTCCCTTTCTCAGGCCAGGTCCAGCTGCTCCAGCAGTTTGCATGGATGCTGGATTCCTGCTGGGTTCCACATTATAACCAAGGGAAGGTAGCAAGAACTGTGAGGGAAAGGGAGGAAGGACGACCCAGGGCAGTGATTGCTCTCTGCTGCAGTGTCTGGATGCCTGGACACCTCCTGTCCAGCACAGTTTTGACTCTTAGTGTGCAATATCCTTCTGCACTGCCTCCTCTCCACAGGGACTTACACTCTGTGGTGCAGAGAAGCAATAGAGAGTGYCTACACCACTGCCACCAGACCAGCAGTGTAATGAAGGAGGGCAAGAGAAGGTGTGAGCACTCCAAAGGCAGATTTTTGGAATGGTCCTGCTCCAGTGAAGACCCTCTCCAGCCCAGTGATGCTGTCAGCCAATCTAATGTAGCTCCTTTGCCCTGCACTGCCAGCACTCTATTGAACCCCTCACACAGGGGCCTTTGTTTACTGCTGTGTTTCTGTTTAAACAGCTGGAGAAGTTGAAGGATCAGCTCTCGACTGAGGACGGGTCAGAGGTGGCCTATGCCTTGGAAAGTCTCTCAGCATCCCAGCCCAAAAAACGCGGTAGGTTCTGGATTTGGGCCTTGCAGCCATCCTGTCCACTCTCATTTCCAGGGCTTGCTCTGTGTAACAAAGACAGTCACAGTAAACTTGCCCCAAATATGCTGAAAAACAGCTGGTTGGCAGCTTTTCAAGCAGCCCTGGCTCTCTCTGATGGCTGGCTGAGAAGAATTGTGTGCCCAACCCTGTCTGCTGTGGGGGCAGATACACCAGGGCTGCACACCCAGGACCCCATGGAGGCAGGCAGTGTCACACCCTGCTTTTCACAGAGGAAATGTGGGGTTGTGTGAGCCAAAAGTGCCTGCCCTGGAGTGGGGCAGCTCTGCATGATGTCCCCAAAGTGCACCCCTCACTTTGGCCTCAAAGCAATGCTGGAGGCAGAATGAGGCRTGTGCACTGCAGGCATTCCCCTCYGCCAAGGTCAGGGCCTCCCCACCGAGAAAAAAGGAGCACTTGTCTGCTGCTGAAAAACAGCTAAAAAKGATGTGGAAATCAACCAAGAATGCAGGGAACTAAGATCTGGTATGTCCCGCAGTTGGTGTCCAGGCTTTGCCCAGTCTGTATCCAGTGGCTCAGGAGCACATTGCACCCCTGCTCCTGTGAAGCTGCCCCTGACAAGCACATGGACAATGCTGCTCACSATGGCTTTCAGTGGATTCCTCCACAAAGCAGTAGCAGCTGTGAACCAGAAGCCACTGATGACAGATCTGGCCTAAAAACAAAAGAGGCTCTGCCCCTAGCCCACATGCTCTGTGCACGTGGAAGCTGACAAGTGCCAGACAGCCAAGAGAAAATCCCTTTGTGCAAGGCTTGCTTCAGTGCCGAGGTGATCCTTAGGCAATGTGCAATTTATAAGCACCCCTGGAGGCTGTCATTAATTTGGCTAATGTAATTCATGCCCCCACCAGCCTGGAAGGTTTAATACAGATCAAACTACTTCCCTTTGCCAGGTTTAAATCAGACTCTGACAGAAATGAAAGCAGGGAATCTTTGTCTTCATCTAAAGTCCTTCCAGYCTGGGAGGAGCTCATGTCTCAGCATGAGCACTGCTGATTCAGTAGAAGTTTTCCTCCAAGATTCAGCTTTCAAAACCAGGCAGAAATCTCCTCTAATACCTGATAATAGGAGACCCACATGGGATTCATGCTGGGTTTTTCCAGCTACTTTTCCCAACACCAAAATATACATCCTTCTCTAATTCWGTCTTCCTAGAAGATCCCACAGAGATCAGTGTTGTTTGGAGGATGGTTGGTARCAGAGTGGTAGTGACTGGGTTTTAAAAAAAAAACAACCAGATCTAATCTCCCGAAGTCAGCACCCTGCTCCTCCAGTCAGCCACACACCTCTGAAGCAGCAAAACTGCTGATCAATAGACAGGAAAGAAAAAGATGGTTCCTKAAGTTGCTCAAGTACAGCAAAAAGAACCCTTTTAAATCCATCAACATGAAGATAACTTTTAAACACCACATTTACACTATGAGCAGCTAAAAGAAACACCTTCTAAAGGTGCTATATGATGTTAAAGCTGGTTGTTGGGATGTGCCCTCAAAGCTGGCTTCATGCCCCAACTCGCTCAAGACTTTGGTCTTTTGAAACCTTCTCCAGAGTGGAAAACTGGAAAAAGCCCCTTCTATGCTAACATCTTYCTTTTGTACCCCTTCACAGCTTGCTTTTGGAAATACTGCATCTGAAGKCTTGTCAGGACAGGAGGATGAGGATGAGTCCTTCCCCACCCTGCCTTGCTGGGTATCACCATGTCAAGAGTTTGTTCTGTTCTCTCATCGTGCTGCTCATTTGGATGCCATCCTCCACGACTGCACCACAGCCAGGTGTGACAGGGACTGTGACAGGAGCTGGCAGCTCACTGCCACTCTCTGCTGCTCCTTCCTTCCAGGTCTAACCCACCACCATCTTCTACTCAGAAGACGCTTCCCAAATTTCTGTGCTGTCCTGTGTGTGCCCTTCAGGCTGCTGCCACTGCCCACTCTCCCCTTCTCACCAGGTCCCCTGAGGCCCCAAACTCTGACTCAGCTTCCCTGGGCTTGGGGCTCTGCCCACACGTGCAGATGCTGCTCTCGGTGGTGTCTGGGTTTCCTGTCACCTCCTGAGCAGGGCTGTGCTGCCCTGGTGGCTGCAGTTGGGACAGGAAGGCAGGCTGGGGGTGATGTGAAGGGCTCAGGGCTGCTGCCACAGCTTGCTGTGCACAGGGGAAGGCAGGCAGAGAGCTCTGGATCCTTGGGGTATCATTCCAATAAAGATTTTCTGTTGCACAGAAGCAMGTGTTGTTTGCTTTCTCAGCCGCTGCAGGGACCCAACGTGCAGCACATTTTCCTTGATGTCGGCTCTTGTTACTTTAACGGTTCATGTGGAGTTCACAGTGGGAAAAAGGCTCCCATTAAACACCTTGAGTTTAATGTGCCTGAGAAACAGACCCTTGCTTTTGGCCAGATCAGRAAGGAGAGCTGGGGCTTTTTCATTTCTTTTTCATACTGTCCTCACAGGACTGGACCAGACTCACTGGTTTCTACCCACTCTCCCTAAAGAGATGCTTTGAGCAGAGATTTTTGGTTCATCTGGCTGGTCAATACAGGTGCTAGCCGGCCTTTTCTACTGCAGAATTATGTCTGGCCCTGTCCAAAAGGAAAATATCACAATCCATCAGTGATTCCTACATATATTCACCTTAAGTCATGTTATTCAAATTTATTTGAAAAAATAGAGGATCTCATGCCTAAAAATGTAAATTCAAAATAAATCCTAATGTTACCTTTGAGGTTTCCCACAACGTACATGAGAACAGGATCTGGTAGCCACTTTGAATGTGTGGATAATTTTGACTAGCACTGACCTTACTCYCCAGCTCTGTTGAGCCATGTGATTTAACTGTAGGTTGCACATTAGATATTCTTCCAAAAGTTACCTCTCCCAAAGCTRTAATTGCCATCCTACACCCATTGCCTCAGGCTCTGGCAAGAAGCACATGCTTGCCACAGCAGTACCTTGCATGTACTTCATTAACAGGACACCTATTCATCCTCTTGCAGGCCAAAGTCAGCATCTAGGGAATAAAGCCAGCTTGATCATATCAGTGAAGTCTAATGACATGCAAAATACAGTTTCCTGCTGCCATTAGTTTGTTATCTCCTTGGTGGTGATTCAGATCCCATTTCCCATTTTCKGTTGCTTTTGTGTGAGTGAAAAGGGAGCACACTTTCACATAMCCTCACATGGGCACCAAATCCAGGAAAAAATTAAACCCTATGGACAAGAATAGTCTCTCTTCCTTTAGGAGTCTGGTGCTCCAGTTGAAAGGGAGGTGTGTTCCAAGAGTTGCACTGAGTACCCCAAGCTGGTGTTGAGCTCAGATGATTTCAGCTCRCAGGAAATCCCAGTGCAAGGAAAGGCCAGAGCAGCAGGCTCCATCTGTCACCTGTTTGCTGTAGCCATGCCTTCCTGACCTGGTGTGACAAGTCAGGAAAAGAAACACAGCGTCTGCGGATATTTAACAGCTTGCTCTGACCCCAGACAGGAATTCCCCGGAGTGCAATGCATCTCGTGCTGCTGAGCAGTGATTTTATGCTCCATCCTATCAGTGCAGTTATTCAAGTGCTTGTGGTACCCAAACCACTCCACTATTTCTGGACAGGCACTCTGTGCTGCTTCTGCTGCAGCAATCAGCATGTGCTGAAYGCCATTTATTAACTAATTAGAGGCAGAGGTGGTGTTTTCCCCCCCAGGTTTACCCTCTACACATCACTGTGGGGGTCCTGTCCTTTCCCTAAACACACAGAACAGAAACCCTTCTCCTCAGGTGTCACCTCCACACAGCAGCTGCTCGTACCTTACCCATGCTTGGGCAGTCACTCTTGCTAACCCACAAGCAATAATTAAAGGGATTCCCTGKGACCATGTGGATTTATTAGAAGAAAATCCTCACGGGCATCTGAATGGATTTGCAAATCCAGGCAGCACAAGGCAAATCCAGAGTGCAATGGATGCTGCAGTATAACCTCATTTCACATTTGCTTATCTCCACATTGCACAATGGCTGGAGCCATCCAATACTGTCTACAAAACCAAATTGTGTTCAGCCTTTCACACATCATCATATTTGAAAGAGCATTTGACAATTCACAGATTTTAAAGAGCACTTCTTGAGCCACAGGAAGTCAGTGTGTTCAGGGACAGAGRAGGCAGAGGAACAGAAAGGCTGCTGCTTTCTCCCAGGTCATCCACACCATGAGGTGGAGCTGGACTGAAACTTCARGCTCCCAGTTCTACCCCAGATCCCTCTGTCCTGCTTTACTTTCACATTTCCCTTCAGATAAAGGACATTTCTGCACACAACTTTCAGCCTTTAAAATCCTGCTCTTTTTGGAAGTCCGGGTTAACAGCTTCCAATTCTTAAATAATCTGTGATCCAGCAATGTCTTCGCAAAGCTGCTGTGTTAGCACTAGATTCCTCTGATCTCAGTCTCCCAAAATATGCCATGCACTGACTCTGTCCATGGTTCTTTTGACCAGCAGCTGTTTGAGTGGTCAGGTCACCACTTCCATTCCCTGCCCCATACRTATGGCTGCTCTGCAAGCAGATTATCTGCAGCCTGTCTGGATGAGCTCAGAGCAAGAAGATAAACATTCCCTAAACCACAGGACAGGCTTAGGAGGGATGGTGGCAGTGCAGTGCAGGGGACTGCCTGGGACTGCATTCACAGGCTTGTTTCTAGCATGGACAGAAAATCATATCTTGAGTCAGTCAGTCTCCATGAATCCACTCTTTCCAGGTCTCAGACCCATCACCTGGAAGCTTAAAGGCAGAAAATTAGCAGTGGGACCAGGAGAAAACTAGGAAGCAAAAAACCAAGATCATCACACATGGACTTAAAGCCTTTTTTTCTCCCTGATTTTCAAGAGCTTGGTCTGGAAAGCATCTGCARTGCTTCACCTCACACACAAGTACTGACAACTCACCCACCAAAGGGGGAATGATCTCCTGACTCAGCTGGAGTGCTCTGGCAGATGGCAAAGATAGGGACACTTCTTGAGGTGAGTCACTGGTTTGTGCAGCTGCTCTCTGCACCATCAGCCTGTACTGGATATGCCAAGAAAACTGAAGTTTCTTGTAAATTTTCTGTGCCTGGGCCAGTCTTGGTCCCAAGGCAGGGCTGTGGGCAAGGAGGAAAATGGGAAAGGTCCATGTTTTGTTTGAACACATGAATTCGATGTTTCCTGCCCTTCTGAGTGGGAGCCTCATCTCCCACCATGGCAGAA